CCTAGAATGAAGGACGGGAGTGCCCTTCCCAGGGTCTGGTTGGGAATGTGCTTACCTTAGCTCAGGTGCATCATTGAGCCACTCTCTTCGCTGCCCTTGACCTTTCCGTGACTCCGGTCCGGCTACCCGGGACGCGGGGGTCCTTGTGTATTCATGCTTTCGGCTTTATACGGGCCCTGGAAGTACTCTATGTCGCTACTTGGTTTTCCCTGACATTCACTCGAAATAGCTAAAAAATCACCATCATTCCCACCAGCACGCTTTTTATATAAAAGTTGAGGGTTTCCTGTGTGCCATAACTGTCATAAGTGCTGTAGATGTATTAATTGCGGTATGGTCATAAATTCTAATGAATTGTGTGCTACTTTTTCAATATCCTCATTTTACAGATGAGAAAACTGAGACACAAAAATAGGTGGCTCGCTCAAAATGAAAGATTCATAAGGTGGTGGAGTCAAGATTTGAACTCAGTCTGATTCCAGCAAGTGGACAGTTAATCTGCCAAATTTCTAAAGTCTTGCTCCAATGAGTTGAATAAAACCACGGAATGCTTATAGGTGAACACGCAGCCTTATAACATATGAGGACAATTTTGAACTACTGATGTACTACTGTAACCTCCAGAATATATGTGTTAACTTAAAAACAAAAACAAGCAAAGTATGGTAAAGGAGGGGAAATGTGTGTGCGTGCATGTGTGTGCGTGCGTGTGTGTACACATATTCTTATTTTTGCACTTTAAAAAACCTCTGACACTAATACTAGACACTAAAAACATGGTTAACCATAAAGGGCAGGAAGGGATAAAGATGGCAATGAGAACTTTCTTTGTAGTGAGCATTTTAACTGTCAACTCATGATGTTTTACATATTAACAAAATATAAAAGAAAAAAGTAAACTTAAAATTAAAAGCATACCCAAACCAATATACCTAACCATATATTAAATTGGTAACATCATAAAGAAGTGATTTTTGAACATAGTTTTCTGTATATTTCCAGTGAAATATAAACAAAAAAAAAACTGCAAAGAAAATTGGAATTTTTATGTAAGAAAGGAGAGAAAATAAAAATAGATAAGCATACAATCCTTATTATTTGAGGTAGTTTTGTTGTATATAGTTGTTGCCAATATTTATTTAACAAATACTCATTTTTCCTAGGTTCCTATGAACCTCTCCTTACATTTTCATCAACTCAGCAATACATGACCTTCTTTTACATGTATTTCTATTTAAAGACATCTGTAATATGCATTATTGATTCATGAACATTGAACTCAGGGCTCACAACACTATAATTTGTACCTGAAGGAAGCTTACCTAACACATATTTTCTCCTTAAGGCATATCACAGCCTTCCTGTGCCTTGGAATACTAGATGGCATGTCAGCAATATGTTTGGAAGCCATTTAAACAACAAAATCACCAAAAGAAATCACAAAATGTGTAAAATGTGGCACTAAATGTACCTCAAAAGGGAAACTTTTTTTTTTTTGTAGTATAAGAGATGAAACAATAAAGCAGAACGTCACCTTGTTCAAATTCACCTAGAAACATGTGTAACGGGCAACAAATTTTTCAAAGCTCTGCGCACATTCACAAATGATTGTGAAACGTCTCAATACTGATTTGGGTGTTACAAGTAAATTTAGTTAATAGGTGAATTCACATATATAGAATGCACAAATAATGAAGATTGACTGTATCTGCTTAACCACCAGAAAAATAAACAAGAAAAAAATGGGCCCTGGCTGGGTAGCTCAGTTGGTTAGAGTGTCACCATATGCCAAGATCGTGGGTTTAATTCCAGGTCAGAGTACATACAAGAAACAGCCAGTGATATGCATAAATGGGTAAAAGTTGAGTCTCTCTCTCTCTCCCTCCTTCTTTCCCTCCCCTCCCCACACACACTTTCTCTCTCTAAAAATCAATCAAATAAATAAATAAATAAAAAAGAACGAGAAACAAATTATTATGGACAAGGAAGTGGAGAGAATAAGAATATACAGTGCTAAAACCATTAGGCAAAAGGGAAAAGGACATTTGCACAGTTCCAAAGTGTCATCCTACAGACTATTGGCTAATAATACACAGGCAAAACTTGCTTTTAAAATGAATCCTTAAAGGTTACCACCTTTACCAAGCATCAAACTTGCATCACAAATAGTGGGCTAATTTGCATTGTCACTGTTATAATGCAATATAACATATACAGCATCACCTCTGAAGTATTCTTGCTAAAAATGTTAATCTCAAATTAAATCTTGATCTGACTTCCAGAAACCTAACCACTTCTATCTCCATGGCTGGGGCCCTTACTAGGACACCAATCTTGCTGTCAGAATAAACTTCCTAAAACATAATAACTTGTGAGTCACTTCTCTACTTAAAATGCTCCAAATCTCCTCATATTAGGATAAAGTGAACAGGGCAACTCTTTTTTTCTTTCCTGTTCCATCTGCCAAGAACACTTCCCTCCCTCTTCACCTCCATTTGCCTAAACAACTTCCACTCATCCTTCAGTTCTTAGCTTCGACTTTACTTTCTCTTGGAAACATTCCCTGACTCTCCCAAGTCTGAGTTTCATGTCTGGGGTGATGCATCAGAGATGAGAATTAGCATGCTTCTTGTGGAGAAGATCCATAATCTGTAAATTATTCCGGTAATGGTAGGAATTTATAGCCAGGGGTGAATAGGAGGTTATAAACCTTTTAAGAATTCACAAAAATCTTAGTGAGGGCTTTGGAATTCCACTGCAGGTGGAAAGGAGATTCCTGGGACAAAGGACCACCAAGTTACATATATTAATAACAGCAACTACTGCCACTGCTACTTCCATTGATTTACTAAGCACCTAGTTGAGTGCTTACACCAGATATGTGCTATGTGCTATCCACCTTGCTGCCTTCATTCCTGATTGCCCAACTATCCAAAGTAAATGTTCTAATAATCAAGTTCCATTATTCACTCCCTGCTTAAGATCCTTTGGGTCTTGCAGTTCCGACTCAGGATGGCAAACAAGGCTGTTTGAGATAGCCTATTTCAACTTTATCCATGGCTGCATCCACAGTCATTTTGTAGTCATACTGAACTATTTATACAGTTTGTCAGAAAAATCAAGCCCTTGCCAGTCTGGCTCAGTGGTTAGAGTGTCCGCTTGAGGAACAAAGAGTTGCAGGTTCGATTCTGATCAAGGGCATGTACCTTGGCTGCGGTTTGATCCCTGGCCCTGGTCTGGGTCATGCAGGAGTCAGCCAGTCAATGTGTCTCTCTCACATTGATGTTTCTCTCTCTCTCTCTTCCTCCCTCCCTCCCACTCTAGCTGGTAATAAGTAGGAAAATTATCCTCAGGTGAGGAGAGAAAAAGAAAAACTCAAGTGTCTCCCTTTGTAAACCTCCTTCTCCAATAGATCACATCTTTCCTTCCCATTTTTCTCCTGTATTTTGTCCACATTTCTAATCTACTTCTCAACCCACACTGCATGAATTTTTTTTCCTTACCCGAGGACATTTTTCCTTTTTTTTTTGTTCGGATAGAGTGGGAGGGAGAGAGAGGAAGAGAGAGAAACATCGACATGAAAGGGACACATTGAGTGGTTGCCACCCGCATGACCCTTCCAGGGCCAGGGACAAACTGCAACCGAGGTACATTCCTTTAGGGGGAACCAAACCCGGGTCTCTCGGGACCTCAGGCCGGCGCTCTAACCACTGAGCGAAACCAGCCAGGGCCGGCATGAATTTCTTTACATATCTTTCCTTTTGACTGGACTTTGAAGTCCTTGTAGTAGAACTATGTCTTATGCATCTTAAAATTCACTTTTTCATTCATTTAGAGAACAAATATTACAGTAATAGAGCCTTAGCACCAGCTATCTACAGCAAGCCAACACTTAAGTGCATACTGAATAAGAATGGATAAGCTTGTTCTGAGTGGTGGGTAGCCACAATCTCTTCAGAGTGGCTTTGGACAAGTGCACTTAACAGACACTGGTAGATTATCTTCCCTCCTGGCCTTAGTTTTACTTCAGTAACATTTTATAACAAGGGTTAGTAAACTTTTTCTGTAGGGAACAGAGTATTTTCAGCAGTGTGGGCTACGTGGTCTTTCTTGCAACTCCTCAGTTCTGCCTCTTCAGCTCTGTGGATATGGTGTAGAAGCAGCCATCCACAATATTTAGTGAGTTAGGGCGGCTGTGTGCCAACATAACTTTACCTACAGACACTGAAATTTGAATTTATATCACTTTCATGAGTTACAAAATATCAGTCTTGACTTTTTTTTTTGCATTTATCTTCAGATAGAGCGAGAGGGAAGAAGAGAGAGGAGTGGGGAGGAAGAGAGAGAGAAACATGAATGTGAGAGACACCTTGAGTGGCTGTCACCCACACGACCCCAACGCGGTGAGGTCCATGCCCTTAGTGGGAACCAAAGGCAGGTCTTTCTGCACCACCGGCCAACGCTCTAACCGCTGAGCCAAACTATAAAATGTAAGACGTTCTTACCCTGTGGGCCCTACAAAATTAGGCCGTGGACAAGGTTTGACCTCCAGGCCTAGATTGCTGGTATGTTTTAGAAAATTCCTAAAAAAAATATGTCTATTAAACACACACACACACACACACACACTCACACACAATTCTTGTGGATAACCATCTCAGCCGGAGATTGAATGGAAAAGGTAAACACACAATGTTAATTTATTAATATGCTGATTGATGTCACACTGCATCAACGCGCCCCTCTCCCCAGACCAGAGGTCCGTTTATCCAGCGAGTCGGATACAGTTAGGTTGTACGGACAAAACGACACACTCCCAGCGACGTGAATCAGAGGGTGGCGGGGTTCGCAGAAGCCCCGGCACCTCCCTCACTACTCAGACCCAAGGCATCCCCAACCCGCCACGCCGCCCTAGGCTCGGCCTCCGGGCGGCGGCGGGACGGCGCAGACGCACTGCTTCCGCCTTCCACCAATCTCGGTCCTCGACGCGTTCCGTTCGTGCGTGGAGGAGCCGGGCGGCCGGGGAGGCCGCTCCGTGGGCAAGGGCTGCGGCGCGCCGAGCGGCTGGGCCCAGCGACGGCGCGGATGGAGGACTCGCCGCTGTTCTGCGTGGCCGAGGAGCGCAGCGGCCACTGCGCCGTGGTGGACGGAAACTTCCTCTACGTGTGGGGGGGCTACGTGGTAAGGGGAAGAGGCGGGACGGGGCGGACTCGCGCTGGGAGCCTGCCCGGCCTCTCGGCCCGAGCGGACGCCGAGCGCCCGCCCACACCCGGCCCGAGGCGGGGGGTTGGCGGCCCGGCCCGGCGCGCCCGGCGCTCCCCGCGCCCGCCCTCCGGCCGCCCGGGGCGTGACGCCACCCGCCGTTGTGTCCACTCTGACAGCCTCCAAACCCCGACCCCGGGCTCTGCCCGCGCTCCAGGCTCCCCGCCTCCGCTGCTGTCCGGTGACTCGGGTTTGCCCGACACTAATCACTTGCTGCGCGGGTTAATCATCTTTAAATGCTTGCGGAGACTCAAAAGTACATAGAGGACGCTGTGCTGTATTACTTTATAAATATTTCTTTATCACTACGGCGCAGTTGGAAATGAAATATCGAACTCACCGAAGCATTTAAGTATTTGAAAGCAAATTTTAGTGGCATTTCTTGACCAAGAGCATGTACACTCTCTAGGGCAGATATACCAAGGAATGGAATGCTGGGGTCACTTGGTACACACATCCTCAAATTCACTTGGAAATGTTACTGTTGCCAAATGGGTAATTACCCACCCCCCCCCCATCTCAAAATAAACTCACTCATATTAGTAACAATATAATAGAGAATATTATGCTTAAAGTTTCTTATTACAATAGAGGTTTGAATGTATGCGTTTTGTTTCTATATTCATCGGATTATAGAATAAAGGATTCTAAAGCTAGCAAACAGTTAAGGAATATATGCCAGCCCTTTAGTTTACAAATTAAAAAAAAAAAAAAAAAATGGCGACCCATTTGGAAGTTCTACTGGAAGTAGAAACTACATTTTCTGACCTCCTCGATACTATTGTGACAGATGTAACATGACTGCATCATTCACTGAAATAAAGTACTTACTATCTATGTTAAATGATTCTCAGATCCAAGTTGGTTTTTGTTGTTTTGTTTGTGTGTTTATTTTTAATTTGATGCAGTGAAGTAAACTTTGAGTGCCTACTATACCTGCTATGTGCTAGGAACTCTTATTCCCTAATCATATGTAACCTTACTATATTTTGTAAGGTAAGTAATACTCCATTTAAAAAATAAGACCTTAAGGTCTTATTTTGACCTCAAGGGTAGCAGTTTCCAACTGGATATATTGGATTTCCAAAGGCTATTTTTTTTTCTATGAAAAGTGAACATAAATTAGGTGACTATGCTTTCTTAATGTCTAATATGTCCACCATTTGTTCTTGACAAAAAACTAATCTAGACATAATGATGGTTTTATGCAAATAAATATTTTTATTGTTTTTGAGCTGTGCCATTTGAAGATATAGAGGTGTCAAATTTCATCTGCTATTTTGATTCTTAATATTGTAAAAATAAAGTGAAAAAATTTCACTTAAAATAGTAGTTTGTAATACCTTATATCTGTCTGGTGATAGTATAGATTTCTTTTTGGCCCGTAAATGAAATGTGTGAATCTTTTATATATCATTTTAACCTTGAAAATTGTATAATTGATAAGATGCCAGGTCTTCAGGTGGTAATCACTGAATAAAAACGCTTCTTTTCCTACTACTTTGATCCAATGAATAGTGTGCTGTAAGGACAACCCTGGGAAGTACTACACAGATTTAGAGTGAGACCACTACTTTTTAAATTCCAGTGATTATCAACAGTTAAAATATGTCTAAGGCATAAGTGAAAGGAAAAGGAGAGTGGGAGGCATAAAAGAAGACGTGACATAACATGAGAAAAAGAATTCTTCCAACAACTGTTTTATTCAGATCCTTCTGCACAGAAGATAACTAAAAGCCCCTGGAATCTGAAAGTAATCAAAACCAGTAGTCAGTAGTTAAGAATAATGATCAGATGATTCCAGGTTGTATGTTCCAGTCCCAATTTTCCATGTTTGTTAAAATTGACAAACATATATCCTAAAACTTTCAAATGGCTAAATTACTCAACCTATTGTCAAACATATTTGAAGGGACATTGTATCTGAGAACAGCCCTACCTCTAAAGGTAAGAGTGGCAATGCTGAAAAAATTAAGTGGTAAATTTTAATTGGTGCCAATTCTTTTTTCCCTAGTTTTTCTATATCCTTTCCACATTACTGAAATTCATACACACTTTAGTGGTGCTACTAGGGACATTTAGAAATTGTGAGTAGTTTTCCCAAATTTTGGAGGAAGAGCAGTGTTTCGGTATGTTTGCAGATGATATGCTGTCCTCTTAAGGCTTAATCATAGGAACAGTTTTATTTCCATAATACAATTGATGTTAATATTTTTCTTAAAATTTTCCTTACAGAAAACATCTGCACAAATGTGCTTAAGTACATATTTATGTTTTGAATATGAACTTAAAGGCAAGAAGGATCAATTCAGGAAATATTTGAAAAGAATAAAAATAGGAGGTTTACAGTGCCAGTTACTACAACATCACAATTCTGTAATAGTTAAATTAGTGGTCCTGATGCAACTTGAGAGAGCATGAGGGAATGGAAAAGAAATTACATAAGCAGCGAAACACGCAGACTATTTTCTGTTTAAAAGGTAGCATTTCAATTCTGCGAGTGAGGGTGGAGGGGGAGGGAAGGGTCACTTATTCAATAAATGGTCCAGGAATAGCTGAGCCTTAGGATTGAAGAGGTAAATGTAGAAAAATTAAGCTGTATTAAACCAGAAAAAAAGATGTAACTCTTGCAAAAACCTTGAGTTGGGAAAAGAAAAAACTGAATTGGGAAAAACTATAAAAGAAAAATATTGGTAAATCAAACCTTAAAAAATTATATTATGCTTTTTAAACTAACTTTTAAAAAAAATATGTGTTTTTACTGATTTTTAGAGAGCAATGGAGGGGGAGAGAGAGATAGAAACATCAATGAGAGAGAAGCAACATCTGTTGGCTGCCTCCTGCATAGACCCTGCTGGGGATGTGCCCTGACCTGAATCAAACGGTGACCTCTTGGTGCATGGGTCAACATTCAACCACGGAGCCACACCAGTTGGGCTAAACAGTAACTTTTTAATGCTGTAACTCTCACTATAAAGTGTGAAGGCAAATGATAAACTGGAAAAAGTATTTGCAATATATATGATAGGTAAAGTTCCAGTGAAAATAAAGATTAGTATCTCCACTGAAAAATAAGCACTGAATATACACAATTTACAAAGGAACAAATACAAATGTAATGTGAATCAAAGAAAGCCAGTTGAAAATAACAATGAGATTTTTCTTCTCTAATTTGCAAATATTAAAAAGAATTTTTAGAAGAACATGGGGAAATGAATTACTCATACACTGGTAACAGGAGCATAAATTTGTCTAACCTTTTTGAGGAGAAATTTAGCAATGTTGAATTAAATGCCTTAAGTATGTATTCTCTTTCACCTAGTAGTTCCACTGTATATATTCATAGATGGTCATATAAGCCATCCATGATATGTGGATGACATTTATTCTTTTAAGATGCCCAGTATTTGAACCTCCTTCCTCTATTTTTATTATCTCCCACTGAGTGAGTCTTCTTGGGATATTTATTTCAGTTGTCTGACTACCTTCTACCTACCACCATAGGATGTAAATTCTGTAAAGATAGGGGTTTTGTTCCCTGTTGTATCTCTAGTATCTAGAATTGGGTATAGTAGATGCCTAATTAAAAGAACTTATGTGCCAGTGAATCACTTTTCCAACCTCACTTGCAGCTAGGCTGTAGGTAAGTGTTTTGGACTCTGTTAAATGAATCTATGCTAGATTTGGACTCTGGAGTAAAGATATAAAAATGGGGGCCTGAAGAGGATTCTTACCTAGCAATAGAGTTTGTGGAATGATCAAAGTCCCAGGTATAAAAGGTGGTGCTGCAAGCTGCAGTGTGATTTGTGCTCACCAGACCTGTGTGTTGGCCTGGTTTCAGAACTTGCTCCTCATTACATAGATCAGAGGCTGATTCTCCAGCCTCCTTGATTGTGTGAGCTCCCTAATGTTCATTTTTTAAGGTTTTATTTTCTTAATTTTAAAATTAGAAATATATGTCCAAAAGAATGTATAAAATGAGTGCCATTTAGAGGTAAACATGTTTAACTTCCAGATTAAGGAATGGACTAGAACCACTAACTTAGAAGATTCCTGTTTACCTTTTACTGATTACAGTGTTCCTCTCACCCCTACAGGGTGCCACTATCTTGATTTCTTGTTAGTCACTCTTTTCTTTATAGTTTTAGCACATGCACATCTATTTGTAAGCAATATATTATTTGGTTTTGGAATCATAGCATGTGTTTTATTTCATGACTTAATTCTTTTAGTCTACATTATGTTTTTTAAATTCATACATTGCTTGTATTCAGCTGCTGGGCAATTGCATAGCTGTACCTCTTTTTATTTGGTGTCTATTCTGGTTGGTCATGGCTGCCAGTTATTAAATATTTTGAAAATCATCACTGGATTCATTCATTTGATGTGTGTCCTGTATAATATTCTATTATGTGAATTTACTGCAATTTATTTATTCATTCCTCTATTGATGGCTATTTGAATGTTTCTATGTTTTTAGTATTATAATGAAAGCCACAATGAGCATTCTTTTTTTTTTCTTTTTATCCTCACCTAAGGATAAGTTTTTCATTGAGTCTAGAAAGAGAGGAAGGGAATGGGAGAGAGAGAAAAACATTGATGTGAGAAAGAAACATTGATTGGTTGCCTCCTGTACATGCCCCAAGTGAGGAAGGAACCACAACCTGGGCATGTGCCCAATAGGGAATGGAACCCACCACCTTCTGGTGTATGGGACGACACTCCAACCAACTGAGCCACACCAGCCGGGGCTTATCTCTGGTGGGTTTAAAGATTTTTTTCTCTGATGTTCTGTAGTTCTGTGATGTGTCTAGTTACAGATTTCTAGGACTTTGTGTTTTTCAAGGATTAATGACTTTCAACAATTTTGATAGACTCTCAGACTTGTCTCTTCAAATAGTGCCTCTTCCTCATTCTATTACATCCTAATGTAATTCTGATTAGACTTAGTTTTTTCTTTATCCATGTCTCTTAACTTCTTTTCTATATACTCCATCTCTCTGGGTTGTATTTCTGGATAAATCAGTTAACTAAGTCTCTATTTTAACAAAACCTTCACAAGAGCAATTTTAGAGGAGTGATGGGCTTTAACTCCAGATTAATCTGAAGTTATGAGAGAATGAGAGGTGAAGCGATGGAAACATCCACCATAGTTAACTCAGTGTGGACGCTTTTTGTGAAGGGAGCAGAAAAATGGGAGTCGAGAGAGAGAGAGAGAGAGAGAGAGAGAGAGAGAGAGAGAGAAATATATATATATATATGATGGATGATATTAGGCATGTTTAGATACATAGGAATGATCTAGTAGAGAAGGAAAATTTGATGATGTAGAAAAGAACGATAATTTTTTAAATTTATTTATTGTTGACACTATTACAAATGGTCTCTATTTTCACCCTTTTATCCACCTCCACCAAGTCTCTGCACCTCCCCCACTCTGGCCATAACCACACTGTTGTCTGGGTCCATGGGCTATACACATTTATTCTTTGGCTAATCTCTTTGCCTTCTTTCATCCAATCTCCCCCACCCCCTTCCCCTCTGACCTCTGTCAGTCTGCTCCATGCATCCATGCCTCTGGTGCTATTTTGTTCATTAGATTCCACATATAAGTGAGATCATATGGTATGTGTTGTCCTCTCTCTGGCTTATTTTGCATAGTATAATACTCTTCAGGTCCATCCTTGCTGTTGCAAAGAGTTCCTTCTTTTTTATAGCTGCATAGTATTCCATTGTGTAAATGTATCATAGTTTTTTTATCCACTCATCTACTGATGGACACTTGGGCTGTTTCCAGAGCTTGGGTATTGTAAATAATGCTGCTAGAACATAGGGGCACATATATTCCTTCTGATTGGTATTTTGGGATTCTTAGAATATATTCCCAGAAGTGGGGTTGCAGGGTCAAAAGGCAGTTTCATTTTTAATTTTTTGATGAAACTCTATACTATTTTCCACAGTGTCTGCACCAGTCTGCATTCCCACCAACAGTGCATGAGGGTTCCCTTTTCTCCACAGGAAGGGATAGTTTTGTAGTGAAATCTTTGAGAAAGTGAGAAGGAACTAGGTCCTCTTTTTTTTAAATCCTCACCCAAGGACATTTTTCCATTTGTTTGTTTGTTTGTTCAGATAGAGTGGGAGGGAGAGTGAGAGAGAGAAACATCGATGTGAAAGGGACACATCGAGTGGCTGCCACCCGCAAGACCAACCAAGGCCGGGGACAAACTGCAACTGAGGTATGTGCCTTTAGTGGACACCGAACCTGGGTCTCTCTGGACCGCAGGTCAATGCTCTAACCGCTGAGCAAAACCGGCCAGGGCTAGGTCCACATTTTTAATTCTGTACTTTATTTGTGTTTTCGTATCACTCCTTTTAAGGGTTAGTGAAAGGGACTTTTCTTTTTAATCAGGCTGAGGTGACCATGCAGTCAGTTAAACAGGTATTATTCACTCAACAAATATTCCATTTGTCTTTTATGTGTCAGGCACTGTGCTAGTTTCTAGGAACAAAATAATAACAACATAAACATGATCCAGGCTCTCATGAAGCTTATAGTTTAGTGGTGGTGGTGGGTGTGATCCATTCAAAGGACTTCAGAGGGGAAGTACAGGACTGTGGGAGAGCATTTAATAGGGACCTTACTCCTTTAACCTTATTCTGGAGTAGTAGAGAAAGGACATTTGTACTATTTACAAAGAATTAATTAGACAAATTCTAGGAAACATTTGAAGTAGAGAGAAGAGCATAATTGAAGCCCAATTGCAGCAAGGAGCTTGCAGAGGTGTAGGAATTGAAAGAAGACTAGAGCATAATGAGTGAAAGACAAGATGAACTTTGAAGGGATAGCAGGTACCAAACAGTACAGAATCAAGAATTTTAGTCTGTCCTGTGAGCACTAGGGAAGTATTGAAGGGACTTAAGCAGAGTTATGGCAGAATCCATTTTTATACTATTTTTCTATAAAGGTGTACACACAAAGCTGCTGGAGCCTGATGCTATTAAACTAACTCCCTTTTTCAAATTATTTGTTTACTTAGCCATTAAGTGTGGCTTCCTCATTCAGACATAAGTGGAAGTTGCCCTGGAATTAATAAAATGGTTTTCTGCTCCATTCTGCTGTGTGTGTGTGTGTGTGTGTGTGTGTGTGTGTGTGTGTGTGTGTGAGAGAGAGAGAGAGAGAGAGAGAGAGAGAGTTGGTGGTGGGGAGATAGCTGGTAGTTAAGATACTATTTTTAAAATTTAACATAGCAATGAGAAATTAGCTAAATCTGCTTAGCATGTTAATTTATACTACATGCAGTATTAGAAAATTTTAAACTGCTATCTTTTATATTTGCATATTTTTAAATTATTCTAAGAAATTATGACAGATTTACATAAAGATTTGTTACAACCCCTAAGTTTTTTACTTAATGAAAATAAAATTGTTGTTTTATTCTTATTTCTCTTTTTATCGTAAATGTCAGAATGAATGCATCCTGTTTATATTATCAGTTTCTTTAGACATTATTCAGAGTTATCATTTGGACTACTTAAATTTATCTTAAGCTTTAGATTCTATTTAATGAACACCTAACACTATGCCTTGCACATAGTAGGCACTCAAAAATATGTTCAGTGAATCAAGGTATCTGATATAGTTGTCTTTTTTTTTCAATTACAGTTTACAGTCAATACTATTTGTATTAGTTTCAGGTGTACAATATTGTGGCTATCATATACTTTACAAAGTGTTACCCCCAATATTTTCAGTACCACCTGGTACTATACATAGTTATTACAATACTATTGACTATATTTCCTATGCTGTACTTTACATTCCCATGACTATTTTATAACTACCAATTTGTGCTTCTTAATCTCTTCACCTTTTTCACTCAGTCTCCCAACACCCTCTCTGGCAACCATTAGTCTCTTCATTGTGTCTATGAGTCTGTTTCAATTTTGTTTGTTCATTTATTTTGTTTTGTTTTGTTTTTTTAGTTTCTGCATGTAAGTGAACTCATATGGCATTTGTCTTTCTCTGTCTAACTTACTTAACTTAGCATAATACCCCCAAGGCCCATTTATGCTGTTGCAAATGGTAAGATATCCTTTTCTGATACAGTGTTCTTATTGCACCTCATAAAAATTTCCTTCCTTAATTTCTTCCCTTTGCACAAAATACATTGCCCTTGTTTGATATTCATTTTCTTCTTGGCTCTGTAGTCTTCAATGTTCTACTCTGAATATTATTATTTTGCTATTTTCCCTTATTCATAATCCCTTTTTAACATTTGACTGTCCTGAATATTTTTCTTGAGATTCATGTACTTGCTATTTTGTATTCTAAACCTGTGCCCATTTTTCTCTTAGGAAATGTATTTTTTCCTTTTCTCTCTTGATCTAACTTAATTTGTATTGAAAAAAAAATTTGAACCTGTTTATGATTATGTTTTACAGTATTTTAATTGCAGTTTCCCCATCCTGAGGAACTATTGAATCGTTACTATGTATTTGATAAACATAATTTTATGTATTCTATGTTTTTAGTCTATTGAAGACAATGAAGTGTATTTGCCTAATGATGAAATTTGGACCTATGATATTGATAGTGGGTTGTGGTAAGTAATTTTAAATTGCAGAATGTCCAGTCTTTTCTATTGAATTTATTGGGATGACACTGGCTTATAAAACCATACAGGTTTCACATGTCCAACTCAATAAATCATCATCTGCACACTGCATCATGGGCTCACCATATGTGTTATAAATGTTTTCATAGACTCGGGAATTTAAGACCATTCGTAGAACATACTGCACCATTCATTTCTCCTTTTCCTTTTCTTTTAATGCTTTATTCTCTCTGGCTCTTTCCCCTGCTTCCTTCCTTTCTCCACTATTTGTCCTTTACCATTACTCACAAGTCTAAGGCTGTCTGAAGACTTTGTTCTGCTATTTAATTCCCAGTTCTGGTGACACAAGTGAAGATTTTGTAATTTTTTTCCAGTAAGTTGAAAAGTCTTTACAGCATATCTTTTTAGAATTTTTACAGTATTGGCTACCGTTATATTTTTATTTTAATTGTCAGCGACGATTTTCATTTAAAAAGGACTCATGGATACCAAAGGGAATTTTAACTTACCTTTCTGGAAAGTTAAGAAATTCCATGTTACTCTTGCTGCAGGACAATGCACCTCATGGAAGGAGAGCTCCCCACCTCTATGTCAGGAAGTTGCGGTGCTTGCATTAACGGGAAGCTGTACGTTTTTGGAGGATATGATGACAAAGGCTACAGCAATCGAGTAATATTTTCTTTTAATTCAGGAGTGCAGAAAATGTGTAATATTTAGTGTATCACATTATCTCACACGTTTACAAATATTTTTAAAAGTCATATGTAGAAAATCTTGTGTTTACGACTATAAGGTAGAGTGCAGATGCAGTAATTTTAGAGTGAAAATGCAGTAGTTTTGCTTTTCTTCCATGTCTTTCTGCTATAGGATTAGCTATATACATAATTGATTTATAAGGCAAGAGAATGATAAGAAAAGATCTATTTCAGTATGTTTTATATATCATTTTTGCTTCTAAAACATAGTTTCATTTTCATTAACTCCACACTTAAATTTTTTACCTTTTAAAAAGAAAAAAGTAATATTAATTTTTGGATCACATAATCCTCAGATATAGATTTAATTTTGAAGTGCCCTGTCTGTTAATGGTGTTCTCCTCTTTTAAAAGCTTTATTTTGTTAATTTGCGAACCAGAGATGGAACCTACATTTGGGAAAAAATCACCAACTTTGAAGGAAAACCACCCACACCACGTGATAAACTTTCTTGCTGGGTATATAAAGACAGGTAATGCAGCAAAATTGCCTCATTAATTACACTCATGTAAGGATGATAGCTTGTGGCCAGAAGGGAGAAAACTTGAGAGTCGATGATTTTTTTCTCGTCATATAATTACCAAGTTGTTTAGATGTTAATGGTAACAGCAGTTTTAAACACTGGAAGAGCTAAAAAATAAAAATAAACACATGGAAGCAACTATTTGTTTTTTAAAAATTAATTTATTAATTAAATTGTCTGAATAGTTAGTATATTTACATGGTTCAAAACCATATTAAAAATATTATAGTGAAAGTTTTGGCTCCCACTCCTATCCCTGCTCCCCCATGCACAAAGAGCTACTTCTTTTAATATCTTTTGTATTCTTATGACAGTGGCTCCCCAAATGGTCTACCATTGTAATCACCTGGGAATCTTTTAAAAATTCCAAAGCCAAGGTGATACCACAGACTAATTAAATTACAGTCGGGGAGTATGATTTTTTGAAACTCCTAAGGTGATTGCAAAATGCAGACAAGTTTGGAAACCAGGAAACTACTGCTATTAGTATTACTTTATGCAAATAGAAGCTAATATGTATGTGTGTGTGTGTGTTTGTGTATGTATTCCTCTTTTTTTCTTCCTCCTTAACAAATATCAGTGTACTCTCTGTACACTGTTCTGCACACTGCTGTTTCTTTTAGTTAACAGGCCTGGAGATCTTTCATCTTTCTGTATTCCTAGTTAGAAAGCTTGTTCTTGGTGTTTTTTTTGTTTTTGTTTTTGTTTTTTTTTGCTGCTGCCTAGTTTTCTCCTCTGTGAATATACTGTAGATTGTTTCAACTCATTTACCATTACAAATTATGCTTCAATATATGCTTTGTGTAAGTGTGTGTGGGTGTGTGTGTGTGCACGTGCACGCGTGTACTTATCAGATAGATCTATTGAATAAAATTCCAGAATAAGATGGCTGGGTCAAAAGGTAATGCATTTCTAATTTTGTAGATGTTTAGTTTGCAAAGGCTGCTGTAACAAGGTACCACAAACTGAGTGACTTATTTTTTGTTGTTGTTGTTCAGATAGAGTGGGAGGGAGAGAGAGAAGAAGGAGAGAGAGAGAGAGAGAGAGAGAGAGAGAGAAACATCAATGTGAAAGGGACACATCGAGTGGCTGCCTCCTGCCGACCCAACCAGACCCAACCAGGGCCGGGGACAAACTGCAACGGAGGTACATGCCCCTAGCGGGAACCGAACCCAGGTCTCTCTGGACCGCAGGCTGATGCTCTAACCGCTGAGCCAAACTGGCCAGGGCAAACTGAGTGACTTAAACAACCATATATGTTGTCTCACAGTTCTGGAAGCTAGAAGTCTGAGATCAAAGTGTCAGCAGAGTTGGACCCTTTTTTGGGTTTTGAGGAAAAATCTATTCCATGCCTCTCCCTAGTCCGGCGGTTATTGGCAATCTTTGGTGTTCCTTGGCATATAGAAGCACCACTCCTATCTGCTTCAACTTCATAATAGCATTCTCCCAGTGCATGCTTGTCTGTCTCCAGGGCCTGCCCCAATCACCTCGTTTTAACTTGATTGCCTCTGTAAAGACCCTCTTTTCAGATAAGGTCACATTCTGAGATACTGGTGATTAGGACTTCAACATATACATTTTGGGAGGATATAGTTCAATCCATAATAATAAATTTTGCCAATTTTTCCTCCATAGAAATTGTGCTGTTTTGCATTCTCAACAATGAAATGCTTATTTCTCTACAGCTTGCCAAGAGTTCTCGGGCAAACTTAGGTTTGTTTGTTTGCCAACTAAGAAGTGATGTCTCAGTCTTATTTCGATTTTCATTAAAATATTTTTGTGAGTTTGAATATTTTCATATGTTTAAGGGTAATTTTTATTTCTTTTTCTCTAGACTGGTCATGTTCTTTGCTAGTTATTTTCTATTGTTGGCATTTATAATCTCAATAATGTGTTCTGCGTGCACTAAAAAGTGTGTTCTGCGTGCATTAAAAAGCTTTTTTAAAAAGATACTTCAAAAAAATTTTTTTGTATGCAAGAAGTGTTAATTTATTCAAAATAAACATTTAAAACAGGCCACAACTTTTATGAGCTTGTGTTGGCACTTTTTCTGCCTTTATAAATTGAATTTATTGGGGTGACATTGTTTAATAAAATTACATAGGTTTCAGTTATACAATTCTACATTTCATCATCTGTATTTTGGATTGTGTGTTTACCACCCCAAGTCAATTTTTTCATCACCATTTATCCAAACTTTACCTTATTCTACCTCCCCCACCCCCTTCCCTCTGGCAATCACCTTACTGTTGTCTGTGTTCATGAATTTTTCTTTTTTTTTATTTGCCTAATTCCTTCACCCTTCTCACCCAGCCACCAAACCCCTCCCTTCTGACAGCTGTCCGTTAGTTCTCTGCATCTTTGAGTCTGTCTCCACTTTACTTGTTAGTTTATTTTGTTCATTAGATTTCACATTTAAGTGAAATCATATGGTACTTGTATTTCTTTACTGGCTTATTTCACTTAGCATAATACTCTCTAGGTCCATCCATGCTGTTGCAAAAGGTAAGATTTCCTTCTTTTTTTACAACCAAGTAGTATTCCATTGTATATATGTACTGCAGCTTTTTTATCTACTCATCTACTGATGGGCACGTGGGCTGCTTCCAAGTCTTGGCTATTGCAAATAATGCTATAGTGAACATAGGGGTACATGTATTCTTTTGAATTAGCGTTTTTGGGTTTCTTTGGATATAGACCCAGAAGTGGATTTGCTGGGTCATAAGGTAGTTCCATTTTTAATTTTTTGAAGTAAACCCATGCTGCTTTCCACAGTGACTGCACCAATCTGTTTACCCACCAACAGTGTACAAGGGTTACCTTTTCTCCACATCCTCGCCAACACTTGTTGTTTGTTGATTTATTGATGATAGCCATTCTGACAGGTGTGAGGTGGTGCATGATTGTGGTTTTAATTTGCATTTCTCTGATGATTAGTAATGATGAGCATGTTTTCATATATCTATTGGCCATTTGTATGTCCTCTTTTGAGAAGTGTCTATTCAAGTCCTTTGCCCATTTATTAATTGGATTACTTGGGTTTTTTTTGGTGTTGAGTTTTATAAGTTACTTATACATTTTGGATATTTAGCCCTTATCAGATGTATGGGCAAATATATTCTCCAATTCAGTAGGTTGTCTCTTTATTTTGTTGATAGTTTTCTTTGCTGTGAAAAATTTTTAATTTGATGTAGTCCCATTTCTCATTTGTCTGAGGTTATATATCAGAAAAAATATTGCGCCCTGGCTGGTTTGGCTCAGCGGTTAGAGCATTGGCCTGCGGTCCAGAGAGACCCGGGTTCGGTTCCTGCTAAGGGCATGTACCTCGGTTGCAGTTTGTCCCGGGCCCTGGTTGGTCGTGCGGGTGGCAGCCACTCGATGTGTCCCTTTCACATCGATGTTTCTCTCTCTCTCTCTCTCTTCCTCTCTCTCCCTCCCACTCTATCTGTGCAAATGGAAAAATGTCCTCGGATGAGGATAAAAAAAAAAAAAGAAAAAATATTGCTCTGAGATATGTCTGAGATTTTACTGCCTGTGTTTTATTCTAAGATTTTTATGGTTTCAAGTCCAACATTTAAGTCTTTAATCCATTTTGAGTTTATTCTTGTGTATGGTGTAAGTTGGTGGTCTAGTTTCATTTATTTGTACATATCTGTTCAGTTTTCCCAACACCATTTATTGAATAGACAATCTTTACCCAATTGTATATTTTGCCTCCTTTGTCTAATATTAATTGACTACAAAGGTTTTCTGGGCTGCCTATTATGTTCCATTAATCTATATGTCTATTTTCATGCCAGTACCATGGTGTTTTGTTTACTATAGTCTTATAGTATAGTTTTATATTAAGTAACATGATTCCTTCAGCTTTGTTCTTCTTTCTCAAGATTTCTGTGGCTATTCAGGGTCTTTTGTGGTTCCATGTAAATTTTTGGAATATTTGCTCTAGTTCTGTAAAATATGCCATTGGTATCTTGATAGGAATAATGTTGAATCTATAGATTGCTTTGAGTATTATGGATATTCTAATGATATTAATTTTTCCTATCCATGAACACCATATATAGTTCCACTTATTTGTATCTTCTTCAGTTTTCTTCTTTAGTGTCTTATAATTTTCCAGATACAGGTCTTTTACATCCTTTGTTAAATTTATTCCTAGATACATTTTTTTTTTATGAAGCAATTGTAAATGGGATTTTTTTCTTAGTTTCCCTCTTTGATAGTTCATTATTGGTGTATAAACATACAACTGATTTCTGGATATTTATTTTGTATCCCACTACTTTACTGAATTCATGTATCAGTTCCAGTACTTTTTTGGGTGGAATCTTTAGGATTCTCTAAATACAGTATTATGTCTTCTGCAAATAATAACAGCTTTACTGCTTCCTTTCCTATTTAAATGCCTTTCTTTTTAATACATGTAAGTTCTTTGGTTTATTTCTTCCCACCCCCCAACCCCTTTCCCTTTGAGGTTTGTCAGTCTTGCAACCAATTTGTACTTTTTAATCCCTTCACCTTTTTCACCCATTACCCCAATCCCCCTTCCATCTGGCAACCAACAAAATGTTCTCTGTATCTATGAGAATGTTTCTGTTCTGCCTGTTCATTTTGTTTGTAGATTTTATTGTCAATAGATATGTATTCATTGTCATTTTGTTTGTTCATATATTTTATCTTTTTCTTCAAAAAGACCCTTCAACATTTCAAATAATAATGGTTTGGTGGTGATGAACTCCTTTAATTTTTTCTTGTCTGGGAAACTCTTTATATGGCCATCGATTCTAAATGACAGCTTTGCAGGATACAGTAATCTTGGTTGTAGGTTCTTGCTTTTCATCACTCTGAATATTTCTTGCCACTCCCTTCTGGCCTGCAAAGTTTCTTTTGAGAAATCAGCTGACAGCCTTATGGGAACTCCCTTGTAAGTAACTAACTGCTTTTCT